GGGAGGGGGGCAGACGAGTTTCCCTGGTGGTGCCCAGAGTGGCCACCAGGGCAAGCTGGGAAGGGCTAGCCTCCCACTAGTTCGAATTAAGTGGCTACACAGCCCTTAATTTGAACTACTTAATTCGAACTAGGCATTACTCCTCGTAGAATGAGGTTTACCTAGTTCGAATTAAGCGCACCGCTAGTTCGAATTAAGTTCGAACTAGCGGTTTGCATGTGTAGTGCCTATCAAAGTTAATTCGAACTAACATCTGTTAGTTCGAATTAACTTTGTAGTGTAGACATACCCTGAGTGTTTGCATATTCAATATAGATTGGAACTTGTTTATTTGGATGCAGTAAGCTGTAGGCACAAGTTTCTTGCAGAAATCAGGAGCTAAGCTTGGGAAAGGGAGACATTATCATACGGTGCATCTACACAGCACCCTTAACTCGAAATAAGATATGCAGTTTGTGCTACACAAATTTCGTAACTTATTTCAATTGAATTTCAAAATAGTGCATTTCTAGACTGATCTCGAAATACTGGGCATGTTCAAAAGACGTGCCCTGCTGTATAGATGTACCCATATGGAGAATAGTGAGAGCTTAAAAGTAAGGAGGAAAAAAACTTCTCCACTTGTATTGCATTTCCTTACTCTGTCATGTACAAAAGTCACATTGATCAACACTTGGACACCATGCTGCTAGGTGCCATAGATAAACCTGAAGAAAACAGATCAATGCCAATGGCAATTTAGGGTGTGTCTAGACAGCACCCTTCTGTCAGAATAAACTACGATATTTGCGCTTTGCAAATTGCGTAGCTCATTCCAAGTCTAAATCAAAAGAGCTTATTTTGAAATTTGGCGTTGTGTGTTCAGTGCCAAATTTCAAAATAAGGAGGAATTCCAACAAATCCCTTAACCCTCATGGAACGATGGTTACAGGGATGCCAGAATAGCGGGCACTTTTAAAGATGCAGCTTTGCTATTTTAGAATACTTCCGGTATCCCAAAAAAGAAATACAGTCTAGACCAGTATTTCTTAAACTGTGTTCTGTGGCACACCGGTGTGCTGCGAGGTTGTCTGAGGTGTGCCGCGGAGAACAACGGGGTTCAAAATGGTCACCCTTAAAGGGGCAGGCAACTTTTTTTTTTTTGCTCAATAACTTTCTCCCGACCCTTTTTTTTGGGTTAAACAAAAAATTCTTGGTGTTCCTCATAAAAAAAAAGTATTGTTTGGTGTTCCTTGGACTTAAAAAGTTTAAGAAACACTGGTTTAGACATATCCTTAGAATCATAGTGTTCTTCTTCAACTAAGTGATTGGGCAACAAAAATGACAAATGAAATGTAATGTTGATGAATGTAAAGTAAAGCATATTGGAAAGAATAATCCCAACTATATATACAATATAATAAAGACTAATTTGGCTACAGCTACTCAAGAGAAAGATTGAAGTCATTGTCATTTCTCAGGTTCTCTGAAAACATCTACTCAGTGTGCAGCAACAGTCAGAAAGGCAAATAGAATGTTAGGAGTCATTAAAAAAGGGATAGAGAATAAGAAAAAAAATATTTTATTGCCTCTACATAAAGCCACGGTACACCCACATCTTAAATACTGCATACAGATGTGGTCACCTCATCTCAGAAAAAGATATATTGGCATTGGAAAAGGTTCAGAAAAGGGCAACAAAAATGATCAGGGGTTTGGAACGGGTCCCCTACAAAAAGAGATTAAAAAGACTGGGACTTTTCAGCTTAGAAAAGAGAAGACTAAGCAGGAATATGATAGAGGTCTATAAAATCATGACTGGTATGGAAAAAGTGAATAAGAAGAAGTTATTTACTTATTCCCACAATCAAAGAACTAAGGGTCACCATATGAAATTAATAGGCATCAGGTTTAAAACAAAGGAAGTTTTTCTTCACTCAGCGCACAGTCAACCTGTGGAACTCCTTGCCAGAGGATGTGGTGAAGGCTAGAACTTTAACACGGTTCAGAAAAGAGCTAGATAGATTCATGGAGGTTAGGTCTATCAATGGCTATTAGCCAGGATGGGTAGGAATGGTGTCCCTAGCCTCTGTTTCTCTAGAGGTGGGTGACAGGGAAGGGATCATGTGAGGATTGCTTGTTGTGTTCCCTCCCTCTGAGGACCTGGCATTGGCCACTGTCAGCAGACAGGGTACTGGGCTGGATGGACCTTTGGTCTGACCCAGTATGGCCATTCTTTTGTTCTTCTGTTCTTATGTTCTTAAGTAATGTCCCTGTGGGTAATCCGCTATTGGTGTTGGGAGCCCTCACCAGCCCACTCCCTCCCATCATGAATTAGTAAGGAAGATGAACCAGGCACTGTGGGCAATGAAAAAGTGCTGGCCTCTTCATTACCAGGCTCAAAGACGCACGCTAAACAGCCTGCGAAGCCGGCTCTCCAGCCAGTGCCACAGTTCGGTTGGACTACATATGCACAATGGGCATGCGGTGTTCCCACCTTTGAAGTTAGCACACACAGACCAATTCCTCTCAATTCCTTCTTTGGCACCCTCAGATATGGACAGAGTTCCAACCTCTCTTCTCCTTGTGTCATTTCTATGACGCAAAAGAAAAAAAAATTAGATAGATATTATAGACCTGTTTCTGTTAGTTTTTCCTTTGTTAAACAGTACATAGCTTTAAAAATATATTCTTTTACTTCAGCTTGTATATAGTTAGCCTGACAGTTTACCACTGTGGTGGAAAGAAAGAAAGAAAGAAAGAAAGAAAGAAAGAAAGAAAGAAAGAAAGAAAGAAAGAAAGAAAGAAAGAAAGAAAGAAAGAAAGAAAGAAAGCTTTACTCATAGATAAGAGCCATACCAGCGAACGGCATAGGCTACCACCTGGCGAAATGCCAGGATCCAGTTTCAAAAAATGTGAGAAATGCTGGGACTCTATGCCAGTCTCTGTTGGCCTCAGAGATTTCATACGCTGCCTAGGGAAGACACACGTTTCACAAAAATGCATTCATTTTCGCAGCCTGACAGTGAAAGCTCACAAGGATAGAGAGCTCAGATGCTGT